AAATTGAGGCAAGGGAACTGAGTTTTTGTTTCTCTACATCAGCCAGTCATTGGCCCGAGTGGTTTCCCCATAAGAGGTAGTGTTACCTTGGGTAAAAGAGTTCTCTGTGGCTGAAGGCAATGCCCAGAGAGGGACACAGCTGTGAGGCATCAGTGCCCAATAGTCCCAGCAGCTGGGGTGTGAATGCCCTGGCCCTGAAGACAAGAGGAGATGTGGCCGGCGCACCACAATATCCACTACTAGCATCTACAATCTGCAAATGCACCGAGTCCAGATGTCACATTTAAATGAATGCAAATGAATGGGGACAGCTTCCTTCTCCACTGTTGGAATGTGCATCTCTTTTGCTGTCTTTTATCAGACGGTCAACATTTTCAGCTACGGTAGTTGTAAGGTTTTTCGATGGCGGTGAAAAGAAAAGACAGAGAGAAAGAGTGGGGGCCAAACCAAGTGGCTTTATTATACACTTGTGGATGAGGTTCTGGGGCCCCAAGAGAGGGGGGGGGTCCCAGAAGTCACTGCTGTTTGCAGGGGCTGAGGCCTTTTATACCCTTTGGGCCTGGCTAGGGACTTTTGGTGGGAAGAGCTGGGGATTTTAGTAGGGGCTGGAGGTATTTGTGGAATCCAAGAGCTGAAACATTCTTATCCAGGTGGACATCTGGCTGTGGTTCCTCTCTGTGGGGCCTGGCAGTTTTGTCCTTGGCAGGTCTAGTCTCATGAGCCTTTTCTTTTTTGATCTAGGGAAGGGAGGGGGCCCACCACCAGCCTTACAGTAGTGTCATTAAATTACTTTAGAGAAGAGACTAGAGAGCTGGACAAAATAGGAAAAGTATGTAAGAACTAATGCCATTAAAATATCTCTAAGAGCTGGAGCCTGCCAGTAAGGGAGACTGTAAAAAGTATACGGCCTGTATTCAGGCAGTAAAAGAGAATCAGTAATTTTCTGCTGCTTCCCTAGGAGGCATTTGGAAATGTGTTGAGGCAGTTTTGCCATCACAATGACTGGGAGAACTACAAAGAAGGGATGGTTGTCCATAATGAAGAATTGTCCCAAACCAAATACCAATAGCACTTCTATTGAGAAACACTGGTGAGTGAAAGAAATTAGGTGCCTATTAACCAGGGCATGTTTGAGAGCAAAAGGGTGCTATTAATAATCATGTCACGACAACAGGCATAAGCTGTGAATGAGGCAGGCAAACTAAGACTTATCAGAGCCCCAGCATAGGGGCTTGCAGCTACCCACATGGGTAAAGGGGCAAATTGAACCCATGAACACAGAGTGTGAAATCAATCATATCAGAAAAATAGAGACTTAGAGTCTTCTAGTGGTCATACTGACTTTTAAAGGGTTTAAATGTGGCCGGGCGTGGTGGCTCATACCTGTAATCCTAGTACTCTGGGAGGCTGAGGTGGGTGGATTGCTCAAGGTCAGGAGTTCAAAACCAGCCTGAGCAAGAGCGAGACCCCGTCTCTACTATAAATAGAAATTAATTGGCCAACTAATATATATGGAAAGAATTAGCCGAGCATGGTGGCTCATGCCTGTAGTCCCAGCTACTGGGGAGGCTGAGGCAGCAGGATCGCTTGAGCCCAGGAGTTTGAGGTTGCTGTGAGCTAGGCTGATGCCATGGCACTCACTCTAGCCTGGGCAACAAAGCAAGACTCTGTCTCAAAAAAAGGGGGGGGAGGTTTGAATGTGGCATAAGAAAAGTTATCCATCTTCCTGTGGCATAAGAAAACTTATCCATCTCAATCACAACTGTTTGGGTGATAAAAATTGTTAATATGCCTAGGATGTTTAATTTTAGTATATGGCCAGGAATTGTTGAACCAGTAACCTCAACTCTTGTGATGGTGTGTTACCTTAGCACAGTGTTTACCAATGTTGTCACATCATAGTACACACAGAAACTGATTTTCAATTGTAGGGCATCCTTGGTTAACTGCAGGTGGTTGAAGGTTACAGGTTACATCTGGCCACCCCCAAAACTGTGAAATTCAAAGAATTTGGCACTCCTGGGACGCATTGGGTGTTCACCACAGGGAAGTTCTGAGAAGTTCCTTATCAAATAGGTCTTGAAAGTCTAGGAAGTTTTTAGAATGAAACAAAGAGATGGAGTAAACCTAACCTATGGTTTTAATACTTTTATGTTGAAATTAGGGATAATCTGTGTTTGCTTAAAGTGCTTAAGATGTTTGTGGCAATTTGGCTTATTAGCAAATTGGAGGGATTGGTCTTGGTTTCCCATTTAAAATGTGTAATTTTACCCATGTGATTTAGAAATGAACAGTATAAGAAAATTAGACTCAGTTCATACAGTTTATGGTACTGGAAAGTGTCAGAGAATTTGAGATTCACTATATTTATAAGTTTAATTTGTTAAGATATATGTGAATTAGATACTGGGGAGGTTTTGTTGATTGGTGTTTAAAGTCTTCCCCATGAGACATTATTCAGGCTTGAAAATAAAGCACATTGAATATATAAATGCATTTTAGAACAATAAAATTCAGGCTGCTTAACTTGGATAAGTCTGCTCACTAAAAGTGACTTCTTTATATAAATTGTCTACATTTATACGTATAAAAATAAGATGTTTAAGTTGAACCTAAAGGTTTAATAAAAATTAGGTTTTAAAATGTGTACCAAGTGGAGAAACCTAGCAGGCATGACCTTAACCAAGTAATCAGTGTCAGCACCAAGAATGGGATAGACCATCCTTGCATGCCTTCTGGTATGATGTGTGAAGACGTATCATTGCTTGTGTAGTATTCCTGCTAAAATGCATACCCTGAATCGAATCATGAGGACACATCACACAAACCCAAATGGAGGCACAGCCTACAAAGTAACTGGCTTGTACTCTTTAAAATGTCAAGGTCTTTGAAGACAAAAAAGGCAGAGAAACTATTCCAGATCAAAGGAGTTTAAAGAGATATGACAACTAAATGTCACAAAATCATGAATTAGATCCCAGACCAGGGAAATACATATAACAATAAAAGACATCATTGGCACAATGGACAATATTTGAATATGGGCTGTGGAGTAGATGATAGCTATATATGACATTAAATTTCTTTATTTTGATAATTGTACTGTGGTTATGCAAGAGAATGTCCTAGTTCTTAGGAAATGTACACGCATATTTAAGTGTAAAGGGGCATAGTGTCTGCAACTTTCAAAATGCTTCAGGAAAAAACCCAAATCTATCATCTATCCATCAAGAGAATAACCAAGTAAATGGAGCAAAATGTAAACAATTGGTTAATCTGGGTAAAGGGTATATGGGGCTTCTTTGTACCATTCTTGCAATTTTTCTTAAGTTTGAATTATTTAAAAATAAAACATTACAGAAGAGCTACTGTACATAAACTTTTCTGTCCACAAAAACTACTCTCAAACATCCCCAAATTTCACACACTCACACAATATTGTTTATTATGGAATGTCTGGCATGTTGCCATTCTCATGTTGTCAAATAAGTCCATTAGATCACAGCACACTGAAGTCTAAGGGATGTTGAAGAATGTGTCTGCAGTTCCTAATCTAGTGCCTCTGCTATTGTGAGAAAAAATTTGATTTGTGTCCTTCCTACACTTAATTTCAAGGCAAAGTCTTTACAAGTGTGCCAGTGCCTGCCTTTGTATTCATTCCACCATTAAAGCATTACAGATTCAGGGAAATCCCGTCGCAGCTCTACAGAATACATCCATTAGTCTTGGTGTTTTCTCCCAAACACACATTTTGCTTGGTGGTGCACAATCTGCACTGGCTTGATCCATTTTAATTTCTAACCAAATTAATTCTGTCCCCTCCATGTGTATGGAATGGAAAGCCAAATGCCCTCCTCGGAGTCACCCACACACAGTTGTCTTAGACTTGAAGTGTTGAAGATTTCTTAGTGACCTACGTAAGTGCCATCAAAACAGCCATTCTGGGTGTGTCAAACAAAACTAGGTTTCGGTAATGGTGGGAGGGATAAATGATGTATTTATTTAAGGAGGATGAAAATTATTCTTGCTATATGTGGGCTTCAAGGGCACTCTTTCATGAGTGCCACACCATGAACCCTAGTAGGAGGCAAAAATAGTCTCTCCCTAGAAGAGCTGACATTGCTACTAATTTTCCCAGGCTCCTTCACAGGGCAAGAAGCAAAGCAGAGTAGGGAGGAGGGAGGGGGTCTCCCCTTGGTGGTAGTCATGACTATGGTTGGCTTATCTTCCCCAGAACCAGTTCTGAGGTATTGTTTTAGGCATCTCCTACCATTCACACATACCCTTAGGGCTGGTACCATCAAGAATAATAAAAGTGATATGAAATTCTCTTGAGAAGCAAAGTATAAATTTAAATTGCAAGCTGGCTTAATTCATATACTTGTTATTACTAAAAAAAACACAAAACACAACAAACACTATGACTATTGCTGCACATAGTTTATCTCTCAAGCTACAAATGCTTTGATACAGCAATCTCATTTCTAGGAATGTATCCCACAGATATATTAGTGCACAAAGGAAATGGTGAAATTAAAAATGTGCAATATGTTTTGTCATAGAAAAGATTGAAAACAAACTACATATCCCACCAAACTGCTTAAATAAAATATGTTGCAAACATATACTGGAATATTATATAGCTATAAAAAGAATGAGAAAGCATTTTATATATTGTATGATCTCCAGAGTCCACTTTTAAGTCAAGCAATGTGCATAACTGGGTGCAGAAAATGCTATCTTCTGTTAAATAAAAGAAAAAAGTAGGAACATATATTTTTAATTGCTTACATAAAAATAAAGACACTTTGGAAGAATACACAAGAAATTAATAATGTTTATTCAATAGGGCGGTGAGGATGATGTGTGAGATAAGGTGGTTGGGAGTCTTTTCACTGTTTAGATTTTCATTTTTCAATCGTGTGAATATATTACCTATTTAAAAATTAAATATCTAAGTTAAAATAAAAACAATATTTCAGTCCAATCAACACCTTTTTGTAACATAACTGCGTGCTTTATTGAGATACACAGTAAAGCAGTAATATAATACAATAGTAAGGCATATATTTGGTGAAGTCTGATATGTTGTGAAAATGCAGTAAAACTGAAGTTTAAAAAAATAATTAGTAAATGTTACAGTGTTGGTGTTAAAACACAATATATTATGATACTCAAGTAAGAACCCAGTACCTGAAAACAATGACATAACATGCCATGTGATGTTTATGCTTCAGTTACATTGATTATGATTTACAGTTTAATACTTGGTGGTTATAAACAACACGAAATAATGTCCAAATTATGCTTAAAACGCAGCAATAAAGCTCTCAGTTTTTATTCAAATATTTTGACAGACTCACTCCAGAACTAATGTCTAAAAGATAAATCAAAACAAAAAGATTAAAACAAAATTATGCACTCTATTTACCTCTGATTTTAGAATGAAACTTAAACTTCTTAGTAGGATATAAAGTAACCCCTTGTTTTAAATCTTGGTTAAAAAAAAAATCCTTGGGTAAAGAAAAGGTACAGCGTTACATAAAGGAAAAAAAATGCAAGACTAAAAACCAAATCTTCATGTAATTTGTTACCTTAGAGCTTTGGGTTTTCTTTTGGAAATTATAAAGGAAAAAGAAAATGGAGAAAAATGTTCATGCAATAGACAAGTGGTGAAGCTGTGAAATCAGGTGTGCACAACTATCAGGAACACCCCAAAACCAAAGTGAGGTAGAAATAGCATGAGAAGCTGTGTTTGATGTTAATTACCATTAAGAAAATAATGGACAAAACCCACTCTTGAAAAGTTAATTACACTTGATGTCAGAGGTAACAGATTTGCAAAAGAATAGGTCACGTGGTGATTTCTACAGAATGAATGATTAAAAAAAAATCAAAGAGTAATAAAATGACATGAAAGAGTAAAGCTTTTTCCTACCAGTCCTTAGCTTTTCCTCTTGAGTTTTTCTCCTCTTTTCAAACAATTTTTGTTTGTGTATATATTTAATGAACCTGCCTAATCCAACAAAAAGGGTTTGGAGTAGCTTTTGCTTTTGGAACACTGGAATCAATTTGCCTTCCTACTTACAAACCTGTGTGGTATTATTTGCAGAGAAATGCAAAGGAGGGAAACACAGCTCATGGGCTTCTGGGTTGATATTTATCATATCACAATGTAATGGGGCTACCATCTTACACATATTTTCCTAAGGGTTATTTTAAATTAAGTCTTGTGGCATTTAAAAACTCATTGCGATGGGGAAAAAAAATCTAAAACAACAAAAACCAAACCACCTACTTCCTTTTGACAGTGAGAAGGCGGCAGAATCATTTAGTTGTAATTATAGAGATCTCTATGGTATGGTTATGAACATTCATCCAATCCTCTACTTCAAGAGTAGCCTGTTTCCTCACAGGGATTGGCTGGGAATTCATAGCCCTCTAGTCTTACCATTGTTGTCCTACCACTCGAGAGTTAAAAATATCTTCTGATTCTCTGATTTCCACCAAAGCATCATTAAATCTAAATCATGGCATTGCCAGCAGCAGGAAGCTGAATATTATCAACCAACAGATTACTCTGATATAATAAGTCCTGTGTATTCATTCACGTTCCTGTTAAAAAAAAATTCAATACTCTAGTTGTCAGTGGAAAGTTTAAAATGAGAAACATCTGGAGCCCTAGACAATGTTTTAGTGTGGTAGTTTCCTCCTGGCTTCAGGCTCCAGGGAAAATTTCACTCTAGACCAAGCAGGTAAGCCTGGATAACTACAAGAAATTTTTTTTCCATAAGACAGTGGCAGGAACATCTGAAGAAGGAATTTAAAAGGTCTACAGAAATTCTTATCTAGTTATCTATATACCTATAGTATTTATATACTTATAGACATATAGATGTATAAAATGAAAACCCACAGCCAGCCCCACTCAATCAACAATTCCCAAAAGAGCAATGCAAACTAGTCATTTGGTGGTGTTAGAGAAAGTCCTATCTTTAATATGCAACAAAAAAATGAATTTCATATGGATATCACGCTAAAAGGATGCAAAACAATGCGCTTGCCTCAAAGTTTGTGTGTGTTTGTGTGTGTATGTGTGTGTGTGTATGTGTGTGTATGTGTTTGTTTTTAGGGGTTTTTATAAACAACTTTTTTTTATAAAGCACACTTTAGTTTACAATCTTTCTTTATAACTGTTATAAATTTTTAAACAACCCAAAATGCGTTCCATATAAAGAAATGGCAAGTTATTTAGCTATCAAGATTTTACATGTAGTTTTCTTATAACTTTTTTTGTACAATTGCATAGACGTGTAAAACCTGCCATTGTTAACAAAACAATAACAGACTTAGAAACTACTGAAATCTACAGTATAGTACCACTACCCTTCACAAAAATATAGATTTTATTTCTTGTAAACTCTTACTGTCTAATCCTCTTTGTTGTATGAATATTATAAAAACCATGCGGGAATCAGGAGTTGTAAAACATTTATTCTGCTCCTTCTTCATCTGTCATGACTGAAACTAAGGACTCCATCGCTCTGCCCAAATCATCTGCCATGTGGAAAAGGCTTCCTACATTGTGTCCTGGAAAACAAAGAGAAAGAAAGACTTTACAAAAGGTGCCAATATCATCACGATTCTTTGCCATTTGGGAAATCATTCCCCATTTCTGGGTGAAGACAACACAGAAGCTGCATTGTGGGTGTACACAACAGGGTTTGATTTTTCACCAGTTTCCAGGAAGAAGCAAAGCCTTGTTAATGAAGCCATTGCATGTTGTTAGTATCAGCTTAATGTTGGATCAGGCTACTGGTGTCATTTAAATGGAAAACATGTCAAATAATGTACTCATCATCCCAGTGTAAATATCGTATATCAAAAGGATTCCATGGATAAGCACGAGATTGCTATCATAATGGAAATATTACATGATGGGATATACCTTTTCTACCTTGCTATGAGTGATTACTTACTATCTACTTATATTGTTTACTATCAAACTACCACCACCATAACTATCACTACCATCACATCCAATATCACTACCATCACCACCACCCAACCACCATCATCATCATCATCATCACTGCCACCATCATAACCACATGAAATTTTCATTTCAAAGGCTCTTTCAAGCTGTCAGCTTACTTCTAGGCTATGGTGGAGGTGACTATTCTCTCTACTTTTACTTGAGTTGAAAAATAAACTCTTGAATTGACCTTTTTGTACATATTAACATTTGAATTAGGAAGCTTCAGAATAAAAATCACTTTTCATTCCAAATTACTCTAGAGCCTAATTATAATATGACGCACATGTATTGTATGGATTTGGGTATCCTGTGACTCCATCTTTGATCTCCTACTAAATGAGGGTTAAATACCAGAATAGCCTTTTAATAATAATGTGGCATGACCTAGCATTAATTCCCCAGCATGGAGCATAAGAGCAGAGTACCCAATGTCCCTGGGTATTTTGTAGCAAAATTCAGATCTAGAGTAAGACAATCTGAGACATAATTTATGGTTTGCCTTTTCAGATATGTCCCATATTTTTATATGGCTAATTTTAATTTTTGGACATTGGTAAATCTTTCTACTCTTCAAGTACTGCCTTTGGAACTGAAATGCTTTACTAGGCTATTACTACCTTGCTATGTATCAACTTTGCAGATTCCCATAATAATTGTTAAAATCCCAGTAAAAATTAAAGATAGATTAAGGCAGGTATTCTGTTCTAATATTTATTTCAAGAGACATATCCTTTTTAAAAATATGAGAAGATCTAATGAGGATTCATGGGCAGGCACTTAAACAGTGATGACACCAGATCAATTTGAGACTTATTAAAAGTTTAATGCCACTCAGGCATTTATATTAAGGTGACCAAGTTTGTAAATCTCTTTGAGCTTTTTCAGTGCAGTTTCATTGAGAACTAGTTACATTTAAAAAAATCACTTTGGATTTTGGTTGAGACTGCAAATATGAAAACTTTTTAAAGAAAGCATATGTACTATTTATAAAGCAGGCCAATAGTTTGGCAGCCCTCAGTGAAGAATTGAAATTATCTTTGGCTTTTCTGTGGCATAAAAACCAGAGGAAGACACAGTGGGATCTTTGCTGCTCCTCAGAGCTCAAAATACAAATATATATATCTGATGCTACCAGGTTGGAGGGCTTCTCCTGTATCTATTTTTGACTTCTCAGCAACCCTGGTAAATTTGCACAATTATTCAGGCATAAGTGAAAATAGATGGACTAACTGCAAATTTTTAATTACCAGCAATCTTAAGAGTTATTAACAAAGCCAGTAAAAACAAAATCCAAGACCCTTACAACCTGATACCTGAATGTAATTCAAACTATTTCTCATGACCCACATCTGTCTATATTATAGTCTACCTGGGAGCTGGAAAATGTATTACAAAACATAAACAAAAAAGGAAAGAACTCATTTTTTCCTGTCAGTGTATTGATAATCAAAAAGTGCCTTTTTAGACTGTGTGCTAGGGGATGTGGACTGAAGTTCAACAGATAATAAAACAAGTAAATGCATTTATACATTATATAGGAATATATAATGGTGGTGCTTCTATTCCTTGAAATAGTGTTAAGTTACTACCTGGAAGGAAAATTCTTGAGTCTCTCAAGAGGCATTAAGTTCTAGGGGTATCTGCTATTTAAAAATTTGCCAGGGAAAACAGAGGTTCATTATTCTTAACATACCAAATACACTCCCATAAAATGTTGGGTGGCTTTTAACCTGTTTAAACTGTTAAATTTTCACAAATGACCTTGTGGTCATCCTTATGCTATAAAAATGAAGAACTTTTAGAGTCACCTCATCATATCTATATTATACCTTTCATTACTTCATTTATGAATACTTGTTTTACCAAAATAATGATTCCAATTTTTTCATGGAGGTTTTTTTCCTGAAAAAAAATTTCTGTCTCTGACAAAACACTGCCCCAAAGAATCATACCTCAGTCTATTGGAGGTGTAAAACTGCCCTGTAACATGGATATAGAAAGTAGATTTGTATCCTGGTTCTATTATCCATTTGTATAAGGCACAGCATTAGTGAGATCATTAATTTTATCTGACAGATTTTTCTAAGTTTGAAATTACAATCTCATACTGTAAGTGCAAAAGGCACTGAAAGCGGCCAGGATTGAGGCCTTTGTGGTCAGCTTCAGGCACAAGTTGACACAAAAATATGTCTACAAAAAGTATTAATTTAATCCATTCATAAGCAAGGAATATTGAACACAAAGGCACCATGCGTTGAACATTAGGGCAGTTGTATGTTTTTCCAAGTTGGCGATAACTGCAATGCATTTAGTCTCACACGCCATCACTGCCTGAGGGAGTTGCTTTCTGCAGTGATTGGAATTGAGACTTTCTGGCAAAGATTCAAGACCTCAATAGCAATCTGGCACTCTATTTTTAAAAAATATTTCCCAAATAAATGGTTAGCATTCAACTGGCCAAAGCAAAGCCAGAATACTGCAGTGAAATGTGCTTATCTTCTCTTTTCTATAATTTAATCTCTGAAAAAAAAATCTGGTCTACTGTACATTTGGAGTATTTTTATAGCCTTAGAAAAAGTCATTATTGTTTTGATTCTCTGGCTTCTGGAACCTTATCTGACCATAATACATCTCAGGTAGTAAGTTTCCAAATATCTACATGACTTCTATTATATGTATAGTCCTTTCATTCATCCATGAACGAAACATGTTTTAGGGTAGTCAAAATTATGGTGCAATTTTTCACAAAAAGTTAAAATAAATTTTAAGGGGCACTTACCATAAGAATGAACCCAAGAAGTCTCACATATAAAGTACATGAGCCAGGCAAACTGTCAGGAGCATTCAATGCTTCATAGATTCAGATTCAGGTTTCTTCAGTTTCTCCTCCCAACCTACCACTCCCTCCCTGGGACCTCACTGCCCAAAGCCTTAGCAAGCCCTGGCATAAATACATGGCAGGATCATTACATTCATTAGTCTTGCATGGCACAGTGTTGGCAGAATTTTTGGTATGATTCCTTAAGTTTAAATAAATCAGTGGCCACTCTAGTCCATCCTATTGCTAAGGATCCAGAATCTTCTCATACAGGAAGCACTCTCCACTTATCCAACCTGTCTCCCAGAGCAGTATATACTATTGCCATCCCATGGAATAGTTTTTCTTCTCAACCCCTTAACAGTAAACTCTTGGTAAGGACAATCTTGTTTCACTAGGGCTGTCACTCAAAACTTTGTCATCCAATGATCACTTAGGTAATTCAATGTTGAGATGATATTTCTTGTAGAATAGGAGTAAGAAGCATCTTTCACTATAAAACCTCAAACCACAGTCAGTGATAACGCTGCACCCTACCCCCTTCCACTCATACATGGGCATTTAATAAACCCTCAGGACTCCAACATTCAATTTTTTAACCCAATTGGTTATTGTTCTATGTGACTTCAAATGCCAAATATAAAGGAGTGTCTTCTAAAAGGCAAGTTGAGATGACATAAGCCTTTCAAATCTCATTTTCTAAAGTGACAGTACTGCATAAGAGTTAAGAGTGGGGCTCTGGAGCTAGACTATCTGGATCCAAATCCTTGCTGTCACCTTGGACACACTGCTTACTCTCTCATTGACTGTTTCCTTATCTGTAAAATGGGGTTAAAAGAATACCTACCTCATAGGTTTATCAGGAAGAATTACATGATGAAAAAGATGGCAGTTGCTGAGAACAATGCTTGGCACACAGTAAGTGCTCAAAAAATGTTAGCTAAAATGGGAAAGAAAGAGTGTAGGAACCAGGGAAAAAGGAAACAGAGAAAAATGAAGTCATCCCAGAAGAATTAAAAACCAAGGGCTCTGGCAGAAAATGCTAAGGTCCTGGAAGTGGAAGAAAGTTTTATGACTCATCAATTATGTTCAAAGCTAAATTTATTTTGAAGATTGTGTTTGTGTTGCAAATGGCAACAGATGATGAACTGTAGGAATCCAACCTAGGGACTGCAAAGGATTGCCATTTTAGAGATTCCTGCTCCCCCAACCACTGGTCCTGTCATTATGGTGATGACAAGATGAACATTTGAGGAATGGTCCTCATGAACTGGAAGTGGAGAGGTGACTACCATCCTTAAATGATGACACAATGTGTAATACACACATGCGCGTGCACGCACACAATTTTTACACAAATGCCAAACATAGAAAGCAGGATGAGACAGACAGAAGCCATGGCTGTGAGCCTGAATCTCACTAACCTCTCTCATTGGCTTTCCAGGGGTATTTCTTCCTTTAATAATAGAGAGAGGAAGAGGCAGAGATATCAGAAAGGGAAAAAAACATACATACATATACAATTTCATATCAATTTACTTCTTTTACCAAACAAATGTTGAGATGACAATTCATTTATTCCCTTCTGAAAAAAAAAGAAACAAAAAACCCAAAAGACACATCTAGTCAAATAACCTTTACGTACACTTAAAATCAGTATAAACAGATAACATGATCCAGGAGACGTCATTTATAGAATCCATAGAGTTCATGCATTCAAGTGGATGAAAAGTGGCACAGAATAAAAATCTGACAAATCAAGTATTGTTTTCAAGGACAACTTGTTCAAAAATCTCAGATTCTCTTCATTCTCAATTTGACAATCAGCACATTGAAACATAAACAGTAGTTGACTTTGTGTGCCAAAAGTCTGCACCCCAAATGTAAGGCAGACCCCACATAAAGGCCGGACTCCATCCTCTGGGGAGAATTTCTTGGTAGAAGCTGAGTATGTCCATGATGGGGTTGGGGGAATTTGAGGAAATGGAAAAGATGAGGGGAAGAAGTAAGTTCTAGTAATGGGCAAGCCACAGAGCCAGATCCAAGAATGAGCTTTCAACTTCCTCCTCATTATTTCAGCAAATATCAGGAGCCTTGAGAGTGAATGGCTAAAGACTCACTGGCCTTGTTTCATAGAATCCTATAATTGTATGTATGTATTTACTTTTGAAAAGTAGATTCTGATGAGAAAGTGTTCTATGCCAGTATTTATAATTAGAATACTAGACAGAAAAGTAAGGGCCTCTGACCATACCTAGCATGTCTTAGGCACACAATTTCCTTTTATCTCCAGAGTCTTTGGACTAAAATATTGGTTTTCAAATTGTTTGACTATAGCAACAGGACACTTTCTAAAACAACCTTACATGGAATTCCAGTATTTAGAGCAGATCAAAGCAGAGCTATGAGAGGTCCTGTACAGTATCTCCTTTCCTCCATGATCCACCATGCTCAGCGACTCCAAGGACACTCAAATGCCCTGAAACAATTTGGGAACCACTAGTCTGGAATGGAGAAGTATGGAGGTACAATTTCAATAGGAATTTTTCAAAGCTCAAGTTTAGGGTTCAAAAATTCTGGTGTACATTTAAAGGTTTTCTAAGTATGGCTATTCCTTTCCTCCCTTCCTCGTTTCCTTCCATCCTTCCTTCTCCTCATTCCCTCTCTTCCTCCTTCTCTCCTTTTTTGTCCTCTTTCTGAATTTTCCTAAGTGAGTCAGAGATGTCTTAGGATATAAAGACTGTAACTTGACCATGTAAGGGCCAGGAATTCATGATGCTCCTCAAGCCAGGGAAAAGAGAAAAAAATGGGTATTGGCTCTTTAGCTGTGAGTGTTACCAGTGATAGACCATACCAGATGATAGGAAATGGAGGAGAACATCATTTTCTCCTTAACGGCTCAAATAAATCCCAGTATGAATTACTCACCCCTTCCTTTTGATTCCTTTAGCAAGATTTTTTGTTATTCTTTTTTTTTAAAAATCTTTATACTTCATAGTTATACTGTCTGATAGCACAATTAATTCTCTTCCCTTATAAGACTATGAGCTATTTGAAGGCAGGGCCCACAAGTTGTACACCCATCTCCCAATCCCTAGTACCTCATACTGTACCTAGACACTATTGGTATTTGATAAATGCTGGCTGACCTGAACTGGTGACGTAGCAGCTGAGTCATGGCCAAGAGTTTTTCTGAGTTATAAACAACTTGGCCTTGACTGTTACACTTTAGCTTGGATACCAAAGGCTGGTAACTTATTCTGGCTTGTAACTTTAGTCTATTTTGAAAACTTTATAACTTTGGTTTACTTTGAAAACTTCAGAACTTTGGAAAGGACAGTATTGTTAGAAATGTATATGATTTAGTTTCAGAATGTAATTACGATTCTTAAAGTGATTAAGGTTGCATATCTTTATTCATTCTACACCAAACCATTCCCAGAGCTCAGTGTCAACCAATCACTGCTGAATATGCAGCAGCAAATGATTTGTGTTTTGTTTCAAGTACTTCCTGAGAAACCATATTTTATGTAAAATGGACCTCCTGGATCCATGTTAACCTTAATCTCTTCCAAAATCGTCCCTCATCACTTGGGTCCCCATGTGCTCACTGATGTAGTACAAAAGGAAGCTCCTCTTTTCATTTAAAAAAACAGTTAAAAACAAAGAATGTTTTCTACTGTATTAGGAATAGTTCTACACTGATAAAATAGAGGCTACTTGGTTGTAACATTTTAAAAAGTTCTTGACCAGTAAATAAATAAATAAATACAAGTGCCAGATAAAAAGTGTTATTTTATAAACACATTCTTTGGAAATGAGTTTCCTCAGACTTTCAGTTAGGGTGTCCATCTGGCAATGTGGTATGTTGGCAGGAAATGAATCAAGGGAAAAGGGAAGTATGTTGGGCGAGTCCTGAGTCTAAAATAAAGGCCTTGGTCAGGTCTAGAGAAGTCTAGTTTCCACGGGGCAGTATGAACTTGACATTATTGATTGTAATTCATTATTTCAGAGTCAAAATTGCGAGGCATTACTGTTTCTTCCTGTGCCTTTACTTTCTTTTATCTTAGTTCACTGACAGTTTAAAAAAGTTAAGGGGGAATGAGTTTCTTTTCTTTTTTTTTTTTTTCTTTTTCCTTTTGTTGTCCTGATTCTTTGGAAAGGAATGAGTTTCTTTTTAGGATTTCTGTTTCATTACAAGTAAAAGAAGATTCAAGTGGCTACACTTTAAATATTGAAACATGCAGGCTCTTTGGTGAACATGGATATAAATGTATAAATCAATTCAAAAGCACAGTTTTGTTGAGCTGAAAGTTGGTCAGCACTGAAGCCTGTGACTATGTATGAGTCAGAATGGACAGCCAAATAAAAGTGTAAGTTAGGGATTGGCAGATTTTCCCTGTAAAGGGCCAGATATTAATAGTAAATATATTAGGCCACAGTCTCTGTAACAACTATCCAACTCTGGTGCAACTACTCTGCCCTGGTAGTGAGAAAGCAACAACATGTAAATGAGTTGGTGTGGCTGTATGTCTGCAAAATGTTCTTTATAAAAACAAGTTAGTGGGCCAGATTTGGCCTATGGGCTGTATATAGTTTGCTTGTCTTTGGTGTAAAGGGATAATTGCTCAAATCCTTCGTGGAAACAGGAAACAGAATGGTGCCTGAAAGAGGGCATATGATGCTTCTGTCTGCCTTTGTTCTTTATGTTGTTTTTCCGTAAAAGAACCACAGAGCAAGATTGAAATTTTTAAAGATGGCAACTTTTCCAGAGCTATTGGGTTGGTAATTTAGGGGCGTTTGACAGAACGTATGTGGGCTTATTTGTGACGGGATGGTATGAGAGGGACACAGGGTGGCATGGGCTGTTGGGAAAAAAACTAATGTGACATAGATCAGTAGGCAAGAGATTGTACAGGCAGCAGAAATACCCACATAGCACTGCTAACTGCTTTCTGGACTGTCTTACTGCACTAAGAAATTATCTTGGATCCTATTACTCAATTAATCTACACAAAATGGCACCTCATTTTAGAGAGCCCAATACCATACCACTGACTAGGAAAGCATTTCTTTCAACAATGCACACACATATAAAAATATCTTTGTTAGGCTGCTAAAGATCAGAGACTTATGGACATATCGCTTAAGGGTTTATTTTTAAATTATATCTATTATTTTTTCTAGCCACATAGTGTTCCTATAGAAGGCAGAGATGAGAAAGTGTCTTATAGTAGATAATGACTTTTATTCCACTGGAATTCAACTTCTACATATACTTACAGACACAGAAAGAGATTATAGGTAGATAAATAGATTAGATAGAAATTGGCTACTGTTCAGTGTGTAAATATACACTGAGTCACTCAAACCCTCCAAGTGTCTGTGAACAACTAACTATACCTAGAGATTAATCAGAAAAGATATAATCACAAAGCTAAATGTGCACACATTCACACCTTGAACATGCTGTAGTTTATATTGCCGATTATGCAGGAGAGTGTTGGCTATCGGTTTATCACTAAATGGAGAAGCATGTAACTCCTTTATTAATTTGGGTAACAGTTTAGCAAGGCCATTGAGATAAGATCAGAGGCCTAATTTAACTTGCTGAATGGCCATGAACAAGGCACTTAACTTCTCTGGGCTTCCAGGTACTTTTTGTATAAAGGAAAGATAAAGGTTAGCTGACAACTTAAGGTCCAACTGTGTGGCAAGGGGTAACAAAAAAAGTTGTAAGTTTAAAGTACACAATAACTCGCCTATCTATATACTTTATATTTATGAAAAACATTAATTTTTTTAAAAGGCTTTTCCTCTGTGGGCAATTATCTAGCAGGGTTAAGTAAACCATGAGGTGGTATTTAATAGCACATTTCCACTAAATGTCTGACCTCTGGCTCTGACATCTGTTTTGAGTTACTCAAACAGCTGTCTGAAACAGCTGTAGCAACCATGAGCTTCATTTTTCGTAACACAACAATGGGAACATGGATGGCAGTGTTACAATAAAACTACAAAATCCTCTAAGGTATTAGCATGGTCTTACTGTAAAAATTTTAAAAATTATTTTTTTTGGAAACATATTCCCCTGGGCAAGGAAAAGTGAGATCAGTTAGATCAGTATTTTTAAACCACTGTTTCAGAAAATAAATTTAGTGGGTTGCAATCAGCATTTTATTTTTAAATCAATAAAACAGAGAAAGAGTGTGTATTACACATAATATGTAAAGTATTGCTTCATGAAACTTTTGTTTCTAATCTTTGCATATGTGAGTATACATATTATGTGTGACATATGCATGTGACGGGTGTGTACATGTGTGTGTACATAAACACACATATGATTTTTTTATATCTTTATTCCAGTTGTAATATAAAATGTTTCTGTTAAATGGATAATGGTCAAAACAGGTTGAAAGTCTCTGTTCTGGGTGTCAAAGATGCTAAGATGACTTTTCAAAGCTCTCCCATTTGGGAGAGTCTGTATCTTGAGATGTTAAGGTTCTCAAGAACCCAACATCAGCCTAACATACCTACCAACTGGTAAAATGTTCCCACCAAACCTTACTCTTTGTCTCTCCACACACACACACCATTCTTTCAAAATTTAAAAAAAATGCTTTTAGCTAGAAATAAAGCACCCAAAAAACACTAGAGTGTTTATCAATAGGCTAATTGATAATTAGCCTATTTTTACAATGATGAAACTCTTAATCCATTTGAATTTGGGGAGAAAAGGCCCTAATAAAATGAGGCCTAATTTAGCTGGAAGCAGCAAAACAAGAGAAAATGCCAAGGTCACAGCACTACTGAACAACTGGCCAGATCTTCCAACACCTTAGCTACTCTGTTGTTATGTTTTTTGTTTGTTTATTTGATTGGTTTTTTTTTCAAGAATATAAACTAATTTTCTCAGGCCACCAGGATGTGAATGAGTAAATAGAAAGTTCAGTTAATGGAACTCGTATCACAGACAAGGCCTCCTTATTCCACATTTGAGAACTCAAATCAGCACTTAGGGGATGATATTCTTCCATAAACACTAATTTAGGAAACACTACACAGGTGGCCTGAATAGAGTTTCCCAAGTTTCCATACAAGTAAGGAAATCAATATCAGAGATGCTAACTGCCTTAATCCTATATCAGAGGAGGTATATTTCTAGTCTTCCAAGAAGCTTCTTCCATACCTATGTGGTATCTAGCTTTAAGGACTCTAAAAAGAAGGGTGCAGAGAGATGGTGCAAAGGATTTCACCTTAAAGCTAATTAGGGTGGACCAGAGATAAAAGAACAAAAAGGGATCTAGGGAGGCAAGGGTGCCTATGGGGAAGCAGAGCCATGAGCATTGCTGTAGCTCAGGTGTCCTTAAACTACGGCCCACAGGCCACATGCAGGTGTTTTTTGCCCGTTTGTTTTTTTACTTCAAAATAAGATATGTGCAGTGTGCATAGGAATTTGTTCATAGTTTTTTTTAAACTGTAGTCCGGCCCTCCAATGGTCTGAGGGACAGTGAACTGACCCCCTGTTTAAAAAGTCTGAAGACCCCTGCTGTAGCTTCTTCTCTGCTATCCTCTTGTTTAGATGCAGAAGAAATAAATGCCCAGGGTATAAAAGAGCAGCCACCAACTTCCCACAGAGCAGGCAAATGAGCCATCAGTTTAAGGAGCCAGGATCACACAGCAATCATATTATTCCATTGTGATTGGAATTTCTTTGGAACTCTGCATCCCCAATTGACCATAAGTACCTTGAAGGTAAGGAACTTGTCACTACTTCTTCGTATCCCTAGTACCTCCACTGGTACATACTAGGTGCTAGTAAAAGGACAAAGTAATGAGGATAAAGGTGAGAGCATTTGATTCTGCCAAGCCTGGATATGGTCTTCCTATTATGAATCATGACATCTAGGGAGAGGAGTCTAAGATAGTCGGGATGGGGATGGGGGTGGCGGGTGTGGAGGTGGGTGGAAGACAGATAAGACTTTTATCTGTTAAAATCAACACATCAGAGGCGCTCAGCAGTGAAAAGATGGCTGGTGCAGACATTTAAAATTAGCTTCCCCTGACGGTTCCTTAGCAACACTCTACCAGAACATTATTGCTTTTAATGTGCACTGCACAACGTTCACTCGCACATCAAATAGCTAGGAAATGGCCATTGTTAACTGACACTGAACAAAAAGATAGGAAAAACACACTACTCAAAACACCCTCCTCATTGCCCTTATGGAGAGGAACGAATAGCCCAGATTTCCTGCTGCCCTTCCCTCCCCCAGGCTGCCCATTAGGGGTGCCAATCACTGGCCACAAAGCCTGGTGTGTTCTCCCTTTTCTTTCTCTGGGCTTTCCTTCTGTTTGATCACAGGTGACTGTTGCCATTCTTTTTCTTCACTGAAGGGAGGTAGGACAGTGACTTTGTTTTTTTTTTTTTTTTTGAGACAGAGTCTTGCTTTGTTGCCCAGGCTAGAGTGAGTGCTGTGGCGTCAGCCTAGCTCACAGCAACCTCAAACTCCTGGGCTCAAGCCTCCTGCCTCAGCCTCCCGAGTAGCTGGGACTACAGGCATGTGCCACCATGCCCGGCTAATTTTTTTTTTCTATGTATATTAGTTGGCCAATTAATTTCTTTCTATTTATAGTAGAGACAGGGTCTCACTCTTGCTCAGGCTGGTTTCGAACTCCTGACCTCGAGCAATCCAGCCACCTCGCCCTCCCAGAGTGCTAGGATTACAGGCATGAGCGATCACGCCCAGCCATGACTTTGTTTTAAGAGAGGGCAACACACCAAAATAAAGGTCCTAGGAAACTAACAACAACAACAAAATATCTCCTTGGATGATGCAAGACATCTGAAGCTCATGCAGGGTAGTGGGAAAAATCTGGGGAGTGGGGTAAAATGTAGCTTTCGTATGAGGGGCAAAATACACAAGGTCAAAGTGATGGAGTGAACAAAAATAATATTAATGCCTTTGTGCAAAGCCTGTATTCCATCAATTGAGGTAAAAAGTAACAAACTAGTCTATGAAGATTTAATTCTTCTTATATTTAAATGATGGAGTAAGATATAATTCTGCAACATAAAGGGCATCAGATTGCAAGTCAGAATTCCCACCACCACCACTTGCCAGGCATGTTCTAGGCCTTGTTGTAGCACATAATAGCTGTGTGTCCCTGGCAAACACACCATTACAGCATTAATTTCCTCATCTGTAAAAGTCACATAATAATTGCTCTTCAGTAAAAGGCACCTCATAATTAACTCTTCAGACTAATGTGTGAAGCAAGTAAAATACTTGATAAATATAAGGTGGTGTTCTCATTTCTGGAAACATCCTGATTTCACAGGTATTCAACTCAAAATATTCCAAAGTAGAAATTCACACCTAAAAATAAAATCTCACCATGGACCCAAATTCGCATTCTGATGGCACATGTTGACTTCCATATGGAAAATACACACTACACATCAGTTAGGTATGGAAGTGAGTGGACTAATTCCAGTAAGTCTGAGTCCCTTGCAGATATTGGAGCTTACCTCTCGAACTAGGGAAGGAGTTGTTGAGTTGCTCCATCACCTCCTCTAACCCTGTGCTTGTGTCTTGAGGAGGACTGAGAAGATCTTCCTCACCTTAAAAAAAGCAAAAACAAATAATGGCCAATTACGCTTATGTAAAATGTACAGATACTATAGAAAAGGGCCATAATTACATTTAAAAAAACCATTATAAATACATTTCACTTGCTCATAAATAACATAAATAACAAAAACCCTCAAGCTAATAATTAGGAAACAATTTCTTAAAGGGAAGAAGAATTCCACATGGTAATTTATCTATGTCATTATCCTTGGAGAAGAAAACCGGTATCTATTTAGAAGTTAAGATAAAGTTTATCAGAAGAGAGGACTTGAAATGTTCCTATTAGGTATAAATAATAAACACTTGTGAGGTGCTGGATACCCCCAATACACTGACTTGATCATTATACACTCTATGCATGTAACAAAATATCAAATGTACCCCTATAAATATGTACAAATACTATATGTCAGCAAAAAAGAAAGAAAGGAAGAAAGATCAAGTTGACAAACCCCCTTTTCTTATGCTCCATTAACAAATGTGAAACTTTTTTCTCTATAATAAAACAATTATTATGGCACACTTGCAGTGTGTCTCCTCAACACAAAAGAAAATAAGAATGTTACATTTTGCATTTACATCATGAAAGTAAGAAGAAAACACTAAGGTCATTTTTTCACTTTTTCTTTTGATATTTAACCAAAAAATACAAATAAAACTCAAGTACCTTTAAAGTCCAATGTAATAGGAATAAAAGGAATATGTGACCTTTACAGTTATTGAAATATTAATATTCTAAAAACTATAGATACAGGATAAACTGGGGAGTTATGTTCTTTTGTCTTTGTTAATTGGGACTACTTTATCATAATGATGTGTTGGGGTTTTATAGAGAGAAAATCTATTTTTAATTTTTGAGAATTTGTTTATGTGAGAATGGAATGATGATTTGGAAGCCTTTGAAAGGAGTTTAGGGATGGATGATCTTCACTGGGAATGGGAGTCTCCTATAGATTTTATGGATCTATGTCTCTATTGTTTATTCATGTGTTAAAGAAATACACTTCAAACAGCATTTGCAGTAACGGGGGAAATTAGTAGGCACAAACAAAATTAATTTAAAATTTGAAGGCCCTCTGAAACTAATTTTTCATAAAACCCAATCTTCCAACAGTGAAAATAACTGCTTTTCAAGTTCCATTTGTTCAGCACATTGTCACTTCTATCTAAAACAAGACCTTGCTTCAGCAAGTCAACAATAATGAACTTTCTTAGGGACAAACTCAGGTTCACATCTGACTTGGAAATGCCTGTGAAGCCAGTGACTAGATGATTTAAATATGCTTCTCATTTCCTTTGGTCTATGCCACTTGGATTTTCATCTATGATTATAATCCTTCATTTATTCCTGTGTTTTTGTCCTTGCTTTTTAAAGCACAAGCTAAAAGAATCACTGCGAATGCTAACCATTAAGACAAAATCATACCTTAGGTGGATGTGAGGCTGCATATCATTATTAGAATAGAGGTTTAAGAACATAGGGTAGATAAAAAGCTTCTGATATGTGAGTGTCATGGTAACACACCATAGGAAACTTCTTTGAAATACTAAGTACAGGAAATGGGTACTGAAGAATTAAGGTCACAAAGTGGAAAAGGCAGGGTTATAATCTCTCTCTATATATACACACACACACATGCACACACACACACAACTTGCTTAAGTATATGCCTTTAGAAAAAAAGTGAAATTCTGTATTTTTATTTTCTTTTTTCTTACAGTTTTAAACTACCATTATCTGGTAATGATGGAGTGAATGAAATACTACTACCAGGAGGAACAGGATCCTAACAACTGCAGGGCCAATTACATCTCTTTGTTCCATTAGTGATGCAAATTTTTGCTGAATTGGGAGACATGAAGCATTTTTAATGGCAACAAGTCCACTTTAGTGGCAGTATGATCAAGATCAAGATCAAGAATAAATCAGAACCAACAGAGACAGTTATGAACATTGATGTTAATATTTCTGACAGTTTAATTACATCATACTAGAGTTCTAGGAACTCAATTGTACTGTGTTAACATTCAGGTACAGTTCAATGAAGTGATTGGCATTTCTGTCTCTGAAATATTTCAAAGACCAAATTGTAAAATATAAACCTAATGATGTCAGCCAAGTTCATCTTTACAAATAAACTACCTGTGAGTCTCAAATATGAGTGTCCAAGTACAAATGCAAAATGGGCTTGTTTTAATGGCAAACTTTCATGGCAGTGATAAATGTAAACATTCAGACATTCGTTGAGTGCCTATTACATTCAAGGTAGTAAAAAAACAAGTCATGTATAATCTTGTTTTCTTCTTAATATTGTCAAGATTTCTAAAAATGGTTTTAACTCACCTCCTTTTAGGAATTAAAATCAGACTTATCACATACATGCATGAATAGAAGCGCATCAACTCACTGAAAAAATGCTTAATACCTAATATTTTCTGTGTCAGATTATACTGGAAAAGTTAAAACCACTAAGTAAAACCTGAAGTTAAAATAACACCATTGTACTATTCAATATTGAGCCAGACTTTTTAAATGCCTTTAAAAAACCCACAACAATTTTAAAAAGAGTTAAGATGTTAATTTATTAATTCAAATATTTATCAAAAGCCAACTGTCTGCCAGACACTGTTTTGGATGATGATGTTATAACAATAAACAAATGCAACTCACATTCTCATGGAGGCACACAGGCTATACAAATAAACAAGTAAATTATATAGGTATGTCAACCTGTACTAAACACTCTCACGAGAGGGTTAGCAAGGGGCAATAAGGAAGAGCCATCAGAAAGTGGAATCTTGCAAGTCCTCATTGATGAGATGCAGTTGAGCAAAAACATTAAGGACTTAAGGGTGTGAGTCGCACAGGCCTTTGAGGGAAGGGTACTCTAGATAGAGGGATCAACAAGTACAAAGACCCTGAGAGGGGAGTCTGATTGCCTTGTTCAAAGTACAGCAAAAAGGCCAATGTAGACAAAGTAAAGTTACCAAGGGTTGGGAGAAGAGTACTTTCCTTGCTCGGTAATTTGGACTTGGTTGTGTGACCTGCTTTGGCCAAAAGAATGTTAGCAGATATGACACAAGTAGAGGCTTATAATAGCGTCCTTGAGTGGTTGGGCTTGCTCTCTTGTGCTTATGTGCCATAAGAAGCACATGGGCCAGATAGCCTGCTGGCCCAAGGAGGGTGGATGAAAGACATATGGAACAGACCTGAACCCAGCCACAACCTGGAGTCAAGCCCAGCTGAGTGCCAGCAAAATCCAGCCAACCACCTGATGCATGAATGAGAAATATGTAACTTGAGAATTTTGTGGTTATTTGCTATACAGCAATAGCTGACGGATATACTGTCTCAAGGCATCAAACTACCCAGATATGGCCGGGCGTGGTGGCTCACGGCTGTAATCCTAGCACTCTGGGAGGCCAAGGCGGGCGGATTGCTCAAGGTTAGAAGTTCGAAACCACCCTGAGCAAGAGCGAGACCTCGTCTCTACTATAAATAGAAAGAAATTAATTGGCCAACTGATATATATAGAAAAAATTAGCCAGGCATGGTGGCGCATGCCTGTAGTCCCAGCTACTTGGGAGGCTGAGGCAGCAGGATTGCTTGAGCCCAGGAATTTGAGGTTGCTGTGAGCTAGGCTGACGCCACGGCACTCACTCTAGCCTGGGCAACAAAGTGAGACTGTCTGAAAAACAAACAAACAAAAAAAAAACTACCCAGATATGATGTTTATGGGTTATCTACTCATACATCACGTAGCTACAATGTAATAGGTAACCCTGAAATGTTCCTGACTCTAAGAACCTGTGACCACAAGCTCCCTGCTCAAAAGGCCTTTTCATTTACTCAACGAGAAAATACTTATTGAGTCCCAACTGTGCACACGAGGAACTCAGCCAGTTCTTATCACTATTTCACTGATTCATTGCCCACTCAAAAGTATATTGCTACTGTTTGAGGGATTTTAAACTTAGTTAATGGCAATTCTTTAACATTAACACTTAAACTTGATTCTACTCCAAGGTGAATCCCACAAACACACATAAAAATTCCTTTTGGATTATTAGCTGTATAGTTGTCTTGGTTTGTCCTAAGTTGGTCCAAAGAAATCAGTGGAACATTTTAAAAATGACTATTTCAAAATAGGGAAGACACAGTCAAAGTAAAATAGTACCTTGATATAGCATAATATGATAGTCTCCTTTAATCACTACTGAAATGAAGAAAAAAGAAGTGGGATGATTCAATTTAGTCTCAGAAAAAGGAAATAAAATGGCTTGCCATGGCATGATATTCTTTAATATTCTGAGACATACAATGGTTTCAGACTTTCTGGAAGGGATGATATCCCATCTGACTTGCTTCCCTTCCCTCAATTCAAATGCTGACAATGGTTCTACTTGTTTAAAAAAGTGATTTTAGCCAGAACGTATGCATCCTATGCAGAATAAATACAAGAATCCTTACTCCTGTGATTTTGTCTGCACCTAAACAAATTATTTTCTCTCTAAAAGAAAGGAGCTGTGTATACAAAATTGTTTTCTCTTATAAAAGTGGCTGTGTATGAGCAAATATGGCCATCAATATTTTTGGATATTAATCAATTTCTGACTTGATTTTTTATTACCTTACTACTTAAGTTTTTCCTGCCTAAAAACAAGCACCACATATATTCACCAGCAAACCGGTATTAACTGAGTAGCACCTAAGTGGACACATAGGAACTACAGTAATAGGGTATTGGGGAGGTGGGAGGGTATATACATACATAATGAGTGAGATGTGCACCATCTGAGGGATGGTCATGCTGGAAACTCAGACTTGTGGGGGGAGGGGGGCAAAGGGCATTTATTGAAACCTTAAAATCTGTACCCCCATAATATGCCGAAATAAAAACAAAAACAACAACAAAAAAAACCATTACATGTTTCACAAAAAAAAAGTTTTTCCTGCCTTTCTCCAGTTTTCCAGGAGAAAATATACAAT